GGAGGGGGGGGGGAGGGAGGGAGGGAGGGAGAGAGATGCTGCCTTAAGAACGCACGCACGCGCGCCCACGCACTGCCTTGCCTGCACCCTCTCAGACGCACACACACACGCACGCAAGTAGGCGGCGGAGAGGCCAATGACCACGAGGGGCCCTACTTATTTGCCTTGTCCTTGGAAGGAGCAGCAATCTCAAATTTAATTTCCCAACATCACAGCAGCGGCACCACCCAACACTGCGCGGTCTCTCTCTCTCTCTCTCTCTCTCTCTCTCTCTCTCTCTCTCTCTCTCTCTCTCTCTCTCTCTCTCTCTCTCTCTCCGCCCACGCCTGCCCTGCCTCGCTCGCTCTTTCCTCTGTCAAAGCGCTGCAGGATAGCTCGCGCGGTCTGTATTTTTTAAAAGCGACAGGATAGTCCTCTTTCCCCCCACTCCCGCGTCCCTTTGACCGCAGGGGCCGGCAGCCTTTTCCCTTTGCCCTGTTGTGGTGCGGGAGCCCGCCGCCACCGCCGCGCCCCGCTCTGATCCGCTAATGTTTCACTTCGTCACGTTCACCGCCCCTCCCTCCCACCACTATCGAATCCCCCCTCCCCTTCCCCTCGCGGTCCTTTGCGTCCGACGGGCGAGAGCAGACCGGGCGGCGACGGTACTTGGAAAAAGCTTTGGCTTTAGGGGCGCCACCGCTGGCTGCCACTGCCGCTGCTGCTGCTGCTGGCCCTTTCAGCCACGCTCGCCACCTGCTGGCCGACTGACCGCTCCCCTCAGACCTCCCCCCTCTACCCCCATTTCCCTCCCAACGGGCCAGACGCCGCCGCCGCCGCCGCCGCTTTGGGAATCATCAGCCAGAGAGCTCGATCTCACTCCGTCAAAATGGTTGGGTCCGGTCCGTTTCCTTCACGAGCGCCCCATAATCTCGGCGGCGTGGCCACACCGGCTCGGCAAGGCCGGCCAGCGGCTCGAGCCCCCCCTTTGTGCTCCCTGCACAGCGGCCCCTCTGCCTGCCCCCCGAACCCGACCTCAGGGACTGCTGGCTTTACCCCATCTACACTCCCTTCGCCTCAACCCACAGGCACAGGATACCGCTATGCCTATATGTAAATCAGATGTGCTGGATTTGGAAACAAAACGACTTTGAATCTTAGCTCCTTGATTGACTGAACTACTACTACAAGCAACTTCTTAGATTTCGTTTTTCCGATGACCGCTGCCTGACGGGCCCTGATACGTCTTAAGGATCGCCCCAGAACACGCCGTTACTAACCTACCAAGTTCAGCCTCTGCAAGCTCTCGTAGCGCCTGATGGGTCGGCAACATCTCGCCTGCAATGCATGCGTGTACTGCGGGTCGGCCTACCCCGAGTCTCGCAGGCGCCAAGCTTCCGTCATTGGCCGGAAGAATCTGAGGAAACGGACGTACTTTCTCGACGAATCCCAAACTCGTTCTAAAAGCGGCACAGCCGTCGTCGACGCATTTCCTTTACTTTGTCGACGGCGCCGGCGGCCGGCGGCGCTGCACAGGCCGGCCCAGGCGGCGTCGCCTTCGTCCCGCGGCGTCCCGGAGCGTCGCGGCGGGTGGTCCGGGAATATAAAGATGGTGGGTGAGTTTATGAGCGCGAAGGGAGAGCGACAGGGAAACCGGGCAAGGAGAGGGGCAGGGAGAGCTCTGGAGCCATCAGCAGGCGCCACCGGGACGCCCACCAGGAGGATGAGGCGGCAAGAGTCCGCACAAGGACACGAATGCTGCTGTTGTTGTTGTGGCTGTTAATATTTGTTTGCCGTCCTCGCCGTCACCCCAATTGTGATTGGCGGGACGCCAGAGCGAAAGGGCTACCAAAACTAGCGCGCTCGTCTACACACACGCAGAAACACGTGAGAGAGAGAGAGAGAGAGAGAGAGAGAGAGAGAGAGAGAGAGAGAGAGAGAGTGTTTGCGCGCACAATGCACCATAGTATGCGGTGGTGTAGCGCTCGGCATAAGGGACGAGACACGTCCGCCGCGACCTGCTTCCCAAAAGGCTTCCCCCCCGCGCGCTCGCTACCGTGAATTGGCCTGGATCGCCATCATTCCACATCCCAAAGTAGCAGCAGCAGCAGTAGCGGCGGGGCGGGCACACGGCACAGCAGCACTCGCGCTGGCATTTGAATCATCTCTCTCGCCCGCGGGCGAGCGCGCTCGCCGACAACACTGCCGCGCCGTTGATGTTATGCGCCGTTGCCACCGTTTTTTCGAGAACAATATCATATGTTTCAAATAAGCTCGATTGTTACTATTTTCTTTTGGTGCTCGTCACAAACTTACGAACTATCGATATATACCGTCGCACTTCGCCTTTCTGCTGGAGTAACATTGTACATTTAACAATGAATGGAAACCGCTATTTTACTTGTATTTCCATTTTCTGCAAAGAAATTCGGGGCAGGCTAAATAATTATAAAACTTGACCTAATATACATTGAATTAAAAATGATCTTGATTTCAGTGTGCTTTTTTGCGTGCTTCATTCTTCATTCTTCTTCTTCTTCTTCTTCTTCTTCTTCTTCTTCTTCTTCTTCTTCTTCTTCTTCTTCTTCTTCTTCTTCTTCTTCTTCTTCTTTTTGAGTGTAGTTGATCCCGGCGACTGCTGCACAAGGCCGCTGCACTCGGCGTTGCAGCAGCCCCTGGGCCACCACCACCACCACCGCCGCCCGCACCGTCAGTTTTAGACACAAAGTCCACATCCGGTGAGTGCGCGGGCGAGGGAGGGGGAGGGATGGGGAGGGGAGTGAGAGAGAGAGAGTATGGTTGAATCAGGGAGAGTGGGAGAGAGAGCGAGCAAGCAAGAGAAGGAGGGGGCGATTACTAGATGGCGCAGGTATAATAACGTGAGCGATGTGTCACAGCTGCCAACGGTTTGTTAGCCCTCTGT